ATGCAAGAAAAAAAGGGGTACAAGAAGTAGTCGTCTCCATTTTGTTTTACCTCATGTGTCATTGGGCTGGTTTATCAACAAAACGCAAAACTAGCCCAATTATTAATTTTGGTACTTAATAATGAGTTTAGATAAGTTAAATCATTAAATTAAACAGTCTAATTTAAATAAGTTAAATTGTTGCTCACAACAATCTACAATTAATGGGATTTTTTAACACCCTTAATATTATAATCATCATAAAGGTAATGTTTAATTACGTAAAACATACAAATCACAAGTTTGTCAGCATTTTATTTCAAATACTTAACTTGGATTGATTTAATATAAAATTATTATATTCATTTAATACAATTCATAATTATTCAAATCACACGTTTGTGAATATAATTAATCATAAAAATAAGAAATTTAATACATACATCTTAATTAAATATAATATTATGAAACAGAGGCAATTCGTTGAGTGGATTTAATTAGGAAAGTATTCTAAGTACTATCATAGTTTAGATTTGGTAGGTAAATTCTAATATCTTTTTTCGAGTTTAGAAAATACATTGAACACATTATAATTATTAGTTCAAAACAAGGATATTACAATAAGATTATTTATATAAAAAAACGATGTTACTAAAAACGTAAATATTGAAAAAAATATTATATTAGTTATAGAAGAATCAGATTTAATATCTGCATATTAGATCGATTATATCGATCATAGAATTAGTGAATCTAATATCTTAATTTAAAAACAAAATTAAGAATCCTTATTAGATTCAATATAAAAAACTAATATAATAGTTATGTTTTGGTTCAATGTATGTTATTATTTTCGTCCAAAATCTTAAATAGGTTCCCGACTTGTTCGGCGTGTCAATTAGGTCTTTATTTTTGTCAAAATTGAACTAAATAAAGGCTTATCGTCAAATTGATCAAACGTCATGTTACGTGACATGCTCATAGTGTAGTTTTAATTTAAGTGGCATTGAAAACGTGTGTCAATTGTATTTTTTTAATTTTTGAATTAAAAAAGGAAGTGTACAAAGTGGAAATATAATTTAAATAAGGGCAAAGTTGGGAAATCAAATTAAATTAAGTGCTGAAAGCCCTATTCTCTTCTGCAATTGCGAAATTGAAATCAAATTTAGGGGAAGGTGAGTTTTAGGGTTTCTAGGAGAAAACAAAAGTGTCTTCTTCGATTGGAAGCATGATGGATAATGGAATGCGGAATTCACATTCTTGTTTTTCTTTGACATTCTTATCATATCAGACTTCTCGAAGTCTAAGTAAATTATTTTCTTTTATTCTGATTTTAAATTATAAATGAGGGGCTTTTTTTCCCGAGAATCCTAAACAAGGGTTTGAAATGTTTGTTTCTTTTGCTTGAATCAAGAATTTCAGTGTTGGAAGCACTTTCTTTTTCTATTCCTTTGCTTTAGCCGCAACATGGAGAGATTTTTTCCTTTCTCTTTCTTCGGGGTATGGTCAGGTATCGCAGGAACGAGAGACGACTACGGCAGTGATGGCGCGGCGACGGTGTGGAGATGGCGCGACCAAGTGGCGTTCGTGGTGATTTGTGGCGGCGCGTTGGACGTTCTTCTTCTTTCTCCTTCCCCTCTTTTCTCGTTCAGGAGCGTTTTCTTTTCCTCTTCTCCTTCACGATTCTGATGGGGGATTTGTGCAGATGGGGCGCGAATGCCCTTCTCGCAGTGCGGTGCGGGTGACAGCAGCGGAGGTTCCTTCTCTCCGCGGAGGTTCCTTCTCTCCGTTTTGATTTGCGGCGTAAGGAGGAAGCTTTCTTCTCCTCCTTTTCTTTCGACTTTCGATTTGGGTTCTATTTCGATAGAGTTTTCGTTTCAAACTAATGTGGGAAATCCTTGGTTCTTCTAAATTCAAAACTTGAGTTGAGATTCTTCTACTTTGGAGCTCCAATCTTTCTTTCCCACGAACCCTAATTCGGAGCTCCAATTTTTTTCCTCAATCTGATTTGGATTTCTCAATCGCTGCACTTAAATTTTTTATTTTGCCCAGCCTTGAGTACATCTGATTTAACTTTTGTACAATCCAATTTTTAATAAAAATATCAATTCAAACTCATTTTTAATGCCATGTCTGATTAATCAATGCCACGTAGCCCAAACTTAAACGGTTTGTTTTTTACGGCAAACTTCTAATTACTTCAATCTTACAAAAACAAAAGGACCTAATTGAGACGTCGAAAAAGAAAGAAACCTATTTGAGATTCTGACTAAAAATAAGGATCTACCTAACTTCTAATTACTTTAATTTTACAAAAACAAATGACCCAATTGAGACGTCCAAAAAGAAAGAAACCTATTTGAGATTTGAATGAAAATAGGAATTACCTAAACATTAAACGTGAGCATTAAACCTTATGTTTTTTTATTCCCAAATTGAGTTTCATTTTCTCTCTACGAGATCACTCAACCATCACCCCTTCTTTCTTTCTTCTTTTTACATTGTGCTTCATTTTTTCTCTTTAGTGGCAATATCCACATCGCACTCCATAACCCGCTCATACTGATTTCAAACATTGTCGTACTCCAACATCAATGGGATTCAATTATTTGCTCTGGTCTCATTCGTATCGACGTTCATGTCCCAACTGACATGTTTATTTGTGTTATCTTTGGTGCCTCTTGATAAAAAAGTGGTTCTTTAGTTCGGGTAGTTGTTGTCAATGGTAAAAAGATGGACCTTTGATTTTTTTCTTTCCTGACTTTAGGATTTGGATTCCGTAAAAAAATATGTGTTATAAAAATGTTTGAAAATTCATAATATTATTACTCTTTCGAAAACAGTTAGATGTAAAAGTAATTATTATTTAGACCTAAAAGTAGTTACTTATTATATTAAAGTGATATCTATACTTAAAGTAAAAATTAAATACAACTTTATATTACTTTTTTTATTATAAGGAATTACTTAAGAACCATAAAATAATACTTAATTCACAAAACAAACACATTACTTATACCTAATTAAATAAAGATTAATTATTTTTGCTTTGATCTTACATGGAGGAAGAAAAACTTCCGTCAACAACCAAAATAAGAAAATGAGAATAAAAATTGAAAGAAGATGAAATTTTTCTTGACCAATGAAAAAGAATTATTAATTCTATTTTATCAAGAAAATTATGATAATTAACTTTAAAAGGTTAAAAAAATAAAAATAAAAAATATTGAAATTATACAATCAATGTAACCCTAAATCGGTACGAGTGATATAGTTGATGTGAAGCAGCAATTGAAACAAAGAAAGTAGGTATAAATAAATTACTTTAGAAGGAAAAGTGGATTTAATTGATATGGATGCATGTCAGATGCTGAATCGAGCACGTTACAACCATGGCCCCCATGAATATCATACTTCCGTGACAGTTATAGACTCTTAATAATTAATTAATAAAGTGCAATTATTTTTTTAGAACTTTGAAAAAATTACAGAAGCTGTTAACCCACATATATCCTTTGACACCATGAAATAATATATTAATATTAAACTTGTATGCATTTTGATTTCTAATTTCTAATTGCTTTCTTCTTGTTTTATTGGAATGAAAGATGATAAAAAGGGGAAAGAAAAAATAAAATAAAGAAAAGTTATCACTTTTTCTAACTACCTTTTAAGCCTTACGTTTTTTTCTTACTTTTGTTTGGTTGAGACAATAAGATTTGTATTTAATGATAAAAAGTACAGCAAATATATAATTTTTTTAATGCATTTACTATTTTTATTATTTTCTATTTTTACGTAATATCATGTAATTAAATATTATTTAATGTTAACCATTTTCTTTTAATTTGAATTACACAAAAATAAATACAAAATTAACAAGCAAATAATTAAAACAGTGGAATAATTAAGAGAAATATTAAATATTTTCTAATTACCTTTTCATATTAATTGAAACTAGTAAAGAAAATATTCCTAGTATCTACGGAATAAAAAACCTATGTATATTTTTGAATTAAATTCTGTAGATATTTTTTAAATCTTTAATTGGTGCATTAATATCCATAAATTATATAAATTAAAAAATATTATTACATTTGATATCGAATTACTTTTATTATAATTAATAATTAAACTTTCAGGTACATGTCTTGCTAAGATAAATAGGCTTAACTTGATTGTTCTGCAGTTGTTGTTTTGTTCTATCTACCACTGTTGCAGAAATAATCTTTTCAAGTAGATTCAGTTTTTAAAATCCTATCCAAATCTTATAGGTAGATTGAATTTCAAATTTAGATCCATTTATATTTTAATTATATTCTGTCGTAGTGTTTTTGTTCTCTTCTATCTTGAATAATTTCTTTTAAAATAAAAAAAAAAAACAACTGAAGTGTATTTTCAGTATTAATCTTCGTGCCATAAGAAAAGTCAGTTTCACACAAAAATGGCTTTGTCCAATCACAGATAATCATAATAATAATAAAATAAAGAAAAAAAAGAAGAACAAGAAACCCCTTTCCATGTACCATCAATGAGCATATGTTTTCTACAGCTTTATATCACGAAACTGAAAAACTAAAATAACAACAAATTATGCACGAACGAGACAAGAAGTCGATGGAAACTCCGAGACCAACCCACATGACATTTTTACCCCTTACACTTTCCCCAATTTACACCAAGTCCCTCCCTTCCTTCATAAGAATGCGCTTCCTCCTTCCCTCATTGCCTATCAGACCATGCAGCGTGCGACGGCGGTCAATGACCAACCACGGCGGAGCTCCGGCCCGGCGGCGGCGGATGGAGAGAAGGTCTTCAGGGGGGACGAGGAGTTCAGTTACGCCTCATCGAACTATTTGAAGACGATTTTTGCCCTGGCGCTGTGGCTCGGAACCTTTCATCTCAACGCAGGGTTGATTCTCCTCACGCTTCTCGTCCTCTCTCTCAGCCAAGCACTCTTGTTCGTTTCTCTCTCCTATTACTCTTCCCTTGAATGAGGTTAAGAAAGAGGTCCCTCTCATGTTATGCTATCTCAGGCTTATAGGTTTGCTTCTCGTGTTGATGCTGATTCCTATTGATGAAAATAGCAAATTCGGTCGAAAATTATCCAGGTGCTTGTTTCTGTTTATAGCATGAAAATTTGATATCAAAAGCGGTGATTAAGTTAGTATAAACTTTTGTATTTTCTTTTCTTCTTGTGACACTGGGTTTGATCCCTTTTCTGGTCGAATAAAATGTATCTTTTTTTAGAAAAAAATTGGGTGCGTTTCAGGTACATATGCAAGCACGTTTGCAGTTACTTTCCCGTCATTCTTCATGTGGAAGATATGAAGGCCTTTCATCCCAATCGTGCTTATGGTTTGCCCCTTACTCTTCACTCAAGTTTGACTTCTGAATATTTTTCTTAGATGAAAGTGCATCTTTGTTCTCACTTGCAATTTTGTTGCCTTCTAATGGAGATTGTTTACCAGTGATAGTGATACTGACACTACCAAAATAATATATGTAGTGGACAAACTTCACCTTACCAGCCAACTTTTGAGATTGAGTTACGTCCTAGTTCTGTAATCATATCACTCATAGTGTTCTATTATAAGTGGGGAACAACCTTTTTACTTATATATGCAGACACACACATATTTATGTATAGTTTTTTTTTTGTCTAAAATTGGTTAGATATTTGACACAGATTCTTTTTTTTGGGTAAGTTTGTTCTGTGGTTTTTATACAATGAAAAAGGGTGATTGGAAAAGTGAAGGATTGATTTAAGAACGTTGAGACAGGAGATTGGCTTACCCTTTGCTTGGTTGCTTCATTCATAATGGTAGGCGACCATTGCCGGAAAAGGGTAACTTATAACCTAAAATGGTTGTATGAGATCGTTCTAGATAGGGTGGTAGTATTGGAAGTCTTAAGTGCTCGCTAACTGTTTTTGCGTTTTAATTTCTTGAGGGGTTCTGGCAACAGGCTGTTACGCAGTGTTAAATTAAATAAAAACTTATTATTGATACTCAATACATCTTACTAAACGTTTCTAATTGCTCAAAACAACATGTATTGAAGTGTTTTTTATTTTTTACTTTTGGGACTCTAATATTTGTTTTTTCAATTAAAACTTTGTAGTTGCATATACTCAATCAATGTTATCTTCACAACTAGTTATCGTGTTAGTGTTTGAGTATCCTAATTTGCAAACTCAATGTGTAGACAAATATGAATATGATTAATTAAGGTTTGACATAAATAATATGTTTTAATTTAGAAATTGCAATTAGAAGTATCTACTTTCAGTGTCGCCGATACCCTTGCTGGTATGAGAGCTCATCAGAAGATGGCTGAGTTTTTTATTCCACCACCTGAAGGCTTTTGATTCTTGCTTAGGGGATCAAGCTTCTTATAGCTAGCTTTGTTGCTTTCTATTCTTTCTCTTTTTNATTTGAACGAGCGTTCCAGGGAGGAACGACTCATGGATGAATATTGGAATTGGTAAAGTATGACTGTGGGCATGCTAATGTTGGCAGTTCATCCTGATGTTCCGTGAGTACTCGTCCTCACGTAGAGGAGGGTAGGTCATGTGTGGGAACGGCAGGAGGTCCTAGTCCTTAGGGGTACTTTGGACGGAACGGACTAACCTCGGGTGGCAACTGATGAGAGTATTCCAGTTACTACATCACCCGGGTGCACGAACGCTTGTAGCTACGCAGATTTCATACAGTCCGGACAGTCAGTCTAGTGATAGGCTTGTGTAATACGTACGTTGAAATTTATTTGGTGTTGAATTATTTGAAATGTATGTTTATGCATGAATTAAATTACATAAGTTTACCCTGCGTTTCCTGTCGTGTCTGGTTTTGTACGTCCGTCCTTGTCATTGCAATGATCATCCGTGTGGATGTGAGCAGAAGGAGTCGAGCTGCTGGATAAGGCGCTGAAAGAAGAAAATTTGGAAGAAATTGAAGTCAAGACCGGAGAGTAGGACGTTCGGGCAATAGTCTAGTTATAGTAAGGTGGACGTCCGCTCACCTTTCCTTTTGTTTAAGTATGAACGATCGGTATTGTTATTTTGTAAACCGGTCGCATAGTTTGGATAGTGAGGTACGACTTTAATTTGTAACTCTTTCTGTAAGGCCATTCGGCCATGAGCGTACGCTCGTCTCTAGTGTAAGACTAATCTGGATTATTATTAATGTAATTATTCTATCATATGGTTTATTGCTGTATTTTTGGGATGTTACAGAGTTACTTAATAAACATAAAATAATACTTAATTCACAAAACAAACACATTACTTATACCTAATTAAATAAAGATTAATTATTTTTGCTTTGATCTTACATGGAGGAAGAAAAACTTAAGAAAATGAGAATAAAAAATTGAAAGAAGATGAAATTTTTCTTGACCAATGAAAAAGAATTATTAATTCTATTTTATCAAGAAAATTATGATAATTAGCTTTAAAAGGTTAAAAAAATAAAAATAAAAAATATTGAAATTGTACAATCAATGTAACCCTAAATCGGTATGAGTGATATAGTTGATGTGAAGCAGCAATTGAAACAAAGAAAGTAGGTATAAATAAATTACTTTAGAAGGAAAAGTGGATTTAATTGATATGGATGCATGTCAGATCCTGAATCGAGCACGTTACAACCATGGCCCCCCCATGAATATCATACTTCCGTGACAGTTATAGACTCTTAATAATTAATTAATAAAGTGCAATTATTTTTTTAGAACTTTGAAAAAATTACAGAAGCTGTTAACCCACATATATCCTTTGACACCATGAAATAATATGTTAATATTAAACTTGTATGCATTTTGATTTCTAATTTCTAATTGCTTTCTTCTTGTTTTATTGGAATGAAAGATGATAAAAAGGGGAAAGAAAAAATAAAATAAAGAAAAGTTATCACTTTTTCTAACTACCTTTTAAGCCTTACGTTTTTTTCTTACTTTTGTTTGGTTGAGACAATAAGATTTGTATTTAATGATAAAAAGTACAGCAAATATATAATTTTTTTAATGCATTTACTATTTTTATTATTTTCTATTTTTACGTAATATCATGTAATTAAATATTATTTAATGTTAACCATTTTCTTTTAATTTGAATTACACAAAAATAAATACAAAATTAACAAGCAAATAATTAAAACAGTGGAATAATTAAGAGAAATATTAAATATTTTCTAATTACCTTTTCATATTAATTGAAACTAGTAAAGAAAATATTCCTAGTATCTACGGAATAAAAAACCTATGTATATTTTTGAATTAAATTCTGTAGATATTTTTTAAATCTTTAATTGGTGCATTAATATCCATAAATTATATAAATTAAAAAATATTATTACATTTGATATCGAATTACTTTTATTATAATTAATAATTAAACTTTCAGGTACATGTCTTGCTAAGATAAATAGGCTTAACTTGATTGTTCTGCAGTTGTTGTTTTGTTCTATCTACCACTGTTGCAGAAATAATCTTTTCAAGTAGATTCAGTTTTTAAAATCCTATCCAAATCTTATAGGTAGATTGAATTTCAAATTTAGATCCATTTATATTTTAATTATATTCTGTCGTAGTGTTTTTGTTCTCTTCTATCTTGAATAATTTCTTTTAAAATAAAAAAAAAAAACAACTGAAGTGTATTTTCAGTATTAATCTTCGTGCCATAAGAAAAGTCAGTTTCACACAAAAATGGCTTTGTCCAATCACAGATAATCATAATAATAATAAAATAAAGAAAAAAAAGAAGAACAAGAAACCCCTTTCCATGTACCATCAATGAGCATATGTTTTCTACAGCTTTATATCACGAAACTGAAAAACTAAAATAACAACAAATTATGCACGAACGAGACAAGAAGTCGATGGAAACTCCGAGACCAACCCACATGACATTTTTACCCCTTACACTTTCCCCAATTTACACCAAGTCCCTCCCTTCCTTCATAAGAATGCGCTTCCTCCTTCCCTCATTGCCTATCAGACCATGCAGCGTGCGACGGCGGTCAATGACCAACCACGGCGGAGCTCCGGCCCGGCGGCGGCGGATGGAGAGAAGGTCTTCAGGGGGGACGAGGAGTTCAGTTACGCCTCATCGAACTATTTGAAGACGATTTTTGCCCTGGCGCTGTGGCTCGGAACCTTTCATCTCAACGCAGGGTTGATTCTCCTCACGCTTCTCGTCCTCTCTCTCAGCCAAGCACTCTTGTTCGTTTCTCTCTCCTATTACTCTTCCCTTGAATGAGGTTAAGAAAGAGGTCCCTCTCATGTTATGCTATCTCAGGCTTATAGGTTTGCTTCTCGTGTTGATGCTGATTCCTATTGATGAAAATAGCAAATTCGGTCGAAAATTATCCAGGTGCTTGTTTCTGTTTATAGCATGAAAATTTGATATCAAAAGCGGTGATTAAGTTAGTATAAACTTTTGTATTTTCTTTTCTTCTTGTGACACTGGGTTTGATCCCTTTTCTGGTCGAATAAAATGTATCTTTTTTTAGAAAAAAATTGGGTGCGTTTCAGGTACATATGCAAGCACGTTTGCAGTTACTTTCCCGTCATTCTTCATGTGGAAGATATGAAGGCCTTTCATCCCAATCGTGCTTATGGTTTGCCCCTTACTCTTCACTCAAGTTTGACTTCTGAATATTTTTCTTAGATGAAAGTGCATCTTTGTTCTCACTTGCAATTTTGTTGCCTTCTAATGGAGATTGTTTACCAGTGATAGTGATACTGACACTACCAAAATAATATATGTAGTGGACAAACTTCACCTTACTAGCCAACTTTTGAGATTGAGTTACGTCCTAGTTCTGTAATCATATCACTCATAGTGTTCTATTATAAGTGGGGAACAACCTTTTTACTTATATATGCAGACACACACATATTTATGTATAGTTTTTTTTTTGTCTAAAATTGGTTAGATATTTGACACAGATTCTTTTTTTTGGGTAAGTTTGTTCTGTGGTTTTTATACAATGAAAAAGGGTGATTGGAAAAGTGAAGGATTGATTTAAGAACGTTGAGACTGGAGATTGGCTTACCCTTTGCTTGGTTGCTTCATTCATAATGGTAGGCGACCATTGCCGGAAAAGGGTAACTTATAACCTAAAATGGTTGTATGAGATCGTTCTAGATAGGGTGGTAGTATTGGAAGTCTTAAGTGCTCGCTAACTGTTTTTGCGTTTTAATTTCTTGAGGGGTTCTGGCAACAGGCTGTTACGCAGTGTTAAATTAAATAAAAACTTATTATTGATACTCAATACATCTTACTAAACGTTTCTAATTGCTCAAAACAACATGTATTGAAGTGTTTTTTATTTTTTACTTTTGGGACTCTAATATTTGTTTTTTCAATTAAAACTTTGTAGTTGCATATACTCAATCAATGTTATCTTCACAACTAGTTATCGTGTTAGTGTTTGAGTATCCTAATTTGCAAACTCAATGTGTAGACAAATATGAATATGATTAATTAAGGTTTGACATAAATAATATGTTTTAATTTAGAAATTGCAATTAGAAGTATCTACTTTCAGTGTCGCCGATACCCTTGCTGGTATGAGAGCTCATCAGAAGATGGCTGAGTTTTTTATTCCACCACCTGAAGGCTTTTGATTCTTGCTTAGGGGATCAAGCTTCTTATAGCTAGCTTTGTTGCTTTCTATTCTTTCTCTTTTTTCTTTCCCTTTGTACCAAGAAAATGAACTAGCTAGTTTGAGGTGTGTATAGGCCACGTGATATTGCTGTTATTGTTCTAAACAGATTTATGCAAGTATTCATTTCTAAATGAAATAATTATTCATTTAGAGGATGAACGTTGCATAAATAAGACGAAGTGTCCTGAATGAACCGATTTATCTAGATCTGAAACTTGATTGCAAGTTTTAACCTAGCATATCTCTCTATGGTGATGATTTCTAATTTATCTGTGTTTTATTATTAGTAGTTCATCAATATTTACAACAACATGCCTCTTCATGCAGTTTTTGGCTATGAACCACATTCAGTTTTTCCAATTGGAGTTGTTGCATTAGCTGACAACACAGGTTTTATGCCTCTTCCCAAAATAAAAGTTCTTGCTAGCAATGCGGTAAGATTTTTGTAGACCCTGTTTTGTAAGAAGGTTATTGAGGATATAATTTAAAATTTTTCTTATCACACTTGATAAATAGGTTTTTTACACACCTTTCTTGAGACACATATGGACTTGGTTGGGTCTGGCTCCAGCGACAAGGAAAAGGTTTACCGCTCTGTTGGATGCTGGCTACAGTTGTATCTTAATACCTGGTGGAGTTCAAGAAACATTTCTCATGGAGCATGGTTCTGAGGTACATTGTTTTTCTCTCTTCCTCTTTAGTGTATATATATATATATATATATATATATATTCTATTTTTATCCTTTTTTGGTAAATGAAAATGTTTATTCTTTTAGATATAATATTATAACTGACGTCAAATTGGAGTAGTATGTTGGTACAGGCATTTTCTCTTGCTATGCAAGCACTTGGGCTGCATTGCGATTTGAATGGTGCATGTTTGATAGTCTTAACTAGCACTTTAGTTTCTTCCCCGTCTGATATTTCATGTCTAATTTTGATGGAGAGGCGGGAAAATTATATTCTCTTGATTCATTTTATATATGTTATAGATCTAATTTTGAGATCACTAACCTGAAATGTTTCAGCTATGGCAATATGATTTGCCAATAACACTCTTAAGGTGTACCTGATTTTTGAGATTTGAGTAATGTAAAATATGAGATTGGGGATTATGCATATTCTCCCTACGCTAAGGAACAAGGTTGATAAAGCTTTTCATGTGAAGCACTAGACTTGGATAGAAATAGAATGACCAACAAAAAAATCGTAGTTAGAATTATTGAGCACAATGCCATTAGGCTATGTTATAAATGTACAATAATGAGCCAAGATACTGTTATCAGTAGCAGCAAAGTCATACCCGTTTGCACACTGCGATGGTCGTAATAAAGAATGTAAAAATAAAGAAATTTTTTATTTAATATGCCTCATGAAACTGGTGCGATCAATAGTCCTGTTTGTTTGAATTCTGACATTGGCTGTGAAGTCATTTCAATTTGATTATAGCAATGGGCCCTCTGATTCCAATCTACCAATTAAACACCTTGTCATTTTGTATGTTTGCTTTTGTAATTGAATCATTGTACAATCACAAAATACGTAAAAATACATGCAAAGAATATACTCAGCACATCATATTTGTTTGATAATTTGGTGCTATGTATTGCTGATTGTTTTTTAAATAAAGGATGTTTCTACTAGTTATAAAGATAGTCCGAGAAAGGTTTTAAATAAAATGGGTTTGCAATATGAAACTCCTTTATATAATTTGTATTCAAGCAAGTTAACAATACTAAGAATCATTTGCTTTCTAGATTGTCTTTCTTAAAGCAAGGAGAGGATTTGTGCGCATAGCAATGGAGAAGGGCAAACCCCTGGTTCCAGTTTTCTGCTTTGGGCAGGTATTTATTTCTTGCCCAAATCTATTCTCAAGGAAAAATCTTTCAGCTTTTGCCGACTCTCACATTAACTGCACAAAACTGTTAAAACTAAAATGTCGCTGTGTATTATTTCCTTGTCCGCTAATGTTGCTACTTTATGTTTCTGATTTTTCTGTTCATTCAAATAAACTATCCCTTCCCTTTTTGTGTAATTTTGCTATAGTCAAATGCCTATAAGTGGTGGAAACCAGGTGGGAAGCTATTTCTGAATTTTTCGAGGGCTGTCAAGTTCACCCCAATATATTTTTGGGGAATTTTCGGGTATGTTTTTCGTTTAAATGTCAACTTGCCACCTGCAAGTGATCTCCTTTACATCTATTTTTCAGTTTCACTAGTGAAAGGGATTTTGCATGATGAATAAAACTAATTTTCTTAATTCAAACTTGAAGTTGTTCAAACAGTTTCACTAGTCAAGGGGGGGTTTTGCATGATGAATGAAGCTAATTTTCTTATTTCAAGCTTGAGGTTGTTCAATGAATTAAATTCGACAAGATGGAACAATAGAAAAGAACCGTTTCTAAAATGTCAAACCAATTTGAGAATCAGTTTGGTATGGAAGGTCATTTTTGTCTGGTTCAGCTTAAAATATTTTCTGAGAATGTGACTGGAAAAAGGTGGACTCGATCGCAGGATGCATGCATTTTACAGTTAGCTTTTAGCACTTTTTATGTAGAATGGCATCATTGTCTTTTGGACAGCAATCATTTGACTGGTCTACCAGTATGAAGCTTAAATTACATCGGAGAAGTTGATATTTGGCACTAATGTTTAACACGGGTTATATTTTCTCTTCTTCAGATCTCCGATACCCTTTATACATCCACTGCATGTGGTGGTGGGTAGACCAATTGAACTCGAGAAAAATCCCGAGCCAACTCCTGAGGAGGTATATTCTGGCATCCAGTAGCTTCTATCGTCTTCTTGTTATACAAGTCTGCGTTTTGATCTTGCTAATAAGCGTCCAATACAGTAAGGAAGTGGACGAAATGGACGAAGTGGATGAAGTTGCGAAATGGACGAAGTCGACAAAGTGGAGGAAGTATTGAGGAAGTGGACGATTGACGAAAAGTGGACGAAAGGGAAGAGTGGACGAAGTGACAAAGTTGACGAGTGGAAGAAGTGGATAGAATGTGAATGAAGTGGAGGAAGTAGAGGAAAATGGACGATGTGAGAAGTGGGAGAAATGGAGGAGATGGAGGAAGTGGACGAAACTTAAACGAAGTGGAGGAAGTGAACGAACTTGACGAAAGTGGACAAAATGGACGAAATGGACTAAGGGACGAAATGGACAAAGTGGAGAGAAGTGAGGAGGAAGTGACGAAACTTGAAGAAGTGAGACGAAATTGGACGAAAGTGGACGAAGTAGACGAAGTTGACGAAGTGGCGAGGGGAGAAGCGGGAAGAAGTGGACAAAGTTGACGAAGTGGAAGAAGTGGATGAAGTGAATGTGAAAGTGGAAGGAAGTAGAGGAAATGGACGATGTTGAGGAAGTGGACGAACTTGACGAAGTGGAAAGAAGTGGAGGAAGTGGAAAACGCAAAAAAAATCTTGGGACGAAGTGGGCCAAAATGTACGCAGTGGATGAAGTGGACACGAATTGGAAGAAGTTGACGAAGTAGGAGGAAGTGGAGGAACGGAGGAAGTGAGAGGAAGAGGACGAAATGGAGGAAGTGAGGAAGTGGAGGAAGTGGAGGAAGCGAAGGAGGTGGAGGGAAGTAGAGGAAACTGGAACGAAGTGGACGAAACAGACGAAGTGGACGAAGTGGAGGAAGTGGAGGAAGTGGAGGAAGTGGAGGAAATGTACGAGTGAGGAAGTGGCGGAAGTGACAGAGTTGACGAGTCGGACGAACTGGGAGGAGTGGACGAAGAGGAAAAAAGTGGAAAAACGTGAAGGAAGTTGATGAAGTGCGGAAGTGAGGGAAGTGGACTGTGGACGAAATTCACGAAACTTGACGAAGTTGACGGAGTGGACGAGTGGACAAAGTGGAGGAAGTGGGACGAAACTGACGAGTGGACGAAATGGAGGAGTGCGACGAAGTGGACGAGTGGACGAAGTGGCGAGTGGAGGATAGTGGAGGAAAGGGACGATGTTGAGGACGTGGAGGAAAAGTGGACGAAATGGTGGAAGTAGAGGAAGTGGAGAAAAGTTGATGAAGTGGAGGAAATGGGACGAAGTGGACGAACTTGACGAAGTGGACGAAATGGTCGAAGGGGACGAATTGACGAGGTGGAAGGAAATGGAGAATGTGGACAAAGTGGAGCAAGCAAGAACTGGAACGAAGTGGAGAAGTGAGGAAGTTGCGAGTGGCCGAAGTGCGAAGATGATGGGAAGGGAGGAAGGGAGGAAGGGAGGAATGGAGGAAGGTGGCTACGTGGACGAAGTGGAGGAAGTGGAGGGAAAGTGAGGAAGTGGAGGAAGTGGACGAAACCTGACGAAGTGGACGAAAATGGACGGAGTTGAATTTTAAGAAATTTGTCATTATTTTTTTAAGGGTTAAATATGTTTTTAGTGCCTAAACTATTGGCCGTTTCTGGTTTTCGTCCCTTGTTTCAAAGTAAGGTACAATTTGGTCCTCATTCTTTTAGAAAACATTCGTTTTAGTTCTCGAAAACTAAACATGGTTTAAAATTTTGGTCCTCATTTAGCAACAAATGGGACTTAAAACCAAAATTCCGAGGACTAAAACGAAAGTTACGAAAAGAATGAGGACCAAATTGTACCTTATTTTGAGAGAGGGACGAAAACCAGAAACGGCCAATAGTTTAGGGACTAAAAACATATTTAACCCTTTTTTTAATTATTCTTTTCTATATTTTACCATTTCAAAATCTCATCATTCATTGTTATAGTTAAGGACTTAAATATCAATTCTAACTAATCAATTTTTTAATCAGAATAAGTTTTTATTTATTTTTAAAAAAAAGTGTTCTCTTTTTTTTCATGGACTTTTATCATCCACTTATCATTATAAAAAAAGTATAACTTTAATTTAGTGTGAGTATAGTGAATAGACTATATACATTGTAGGTAGACTCTATATATTCTATTTATAGAATTGGGAAGTTTTAGGCATAGGTTAATCCAAATTCATAACTGAAATGACTAGATTTCATGGTGTATCCCTCCAACATAAACAAGGATCTTTGTTTACTTTTAGTTTTAACAAACACTTCTAGTAATCTTGCAGACCCATCTTCGGATCAGTTATGCATAACATCTATTAGTTAAAAGAAGATCAAAAGAGAAGGACGAACTTTTGTTCATTTGAATGGATTTGGGAAAAGTGATTGAATGGATTTAAGAGAATTTGAAGGTAAATTTTTTATTGTTTATTTAAGTAGATTTGGAGGTAAGTGAGAGTGAATTTGGAAGTAAAGTTTGTGAGAATTAGTGTAGGATGATTGATGTGATAGATTAAGAAAAATTTAATTAGAAATCCACTTTCACTTATCTCCAAATCACTCAAATAAACAACAAAAAATTTACCTTCAAATCCTCTCAAATTCATTCAATCATCCTCCCTCAAATCCATTTAAGTGAACAAAATGTTAAAGAATTTATCCAGAACTTATATATTGAATCATTTAGATAGTTAAGATGAAACTCCACCTTTGGTAGAATTCATCTATAATAAAATGTTGCCAAATTGGTTTTAGGATAGTGAAAATGTTGATTAGACTTGAGTTAATACTACAATGATTAAAAAAAATTAAAAACATTTAAATAGGTCGAAATCTTATACAAACCAAAAATAAAAAATAAAAGCAGACCGAAATCTTAACTCCAAAGGTCATAAGACCTTATCACAACCTTAGAAGAATATGTTTTGTTACATATAAATTTGTCTTACCTCCTTCTTTTAATCAACAATTACAATATCTTTTAAAATCATTAACCACTCAATAAAAATTTCAAAAAATGGAAATGAAAGGTGACATGTTGTTAATTATTTTTATTTCTATGGAGGGATTGTGATAAGTTGAAAACATGTTTGAATGTTTGAACTTGAATAAAGTTTATTTAAATAGAGTTTTGAATATATAAATCTGTATAACTTTTTAAGAATAGTTATGAATTTGATAGGAGAAAAACATGTATATGCGTTAAAGGAATAAGGTCAAAAGAAATTTGAAAGAAAAAATAGAATTTAAAACTAAGAAAATTGATGAACTTATTAAATATTAACGTTTGATTTTCTTTTTATTAATTCTATTATTAGATCTTTTATTGTTTATAATTGTTATTGATCATTAATAAATAATACTTTTTTAATACTTAATATTTGTTAAGAAAGATTTTTTTCAACTATTTTTCCAATGACTTTGTCTTCCAATTACATCGCACTTAAATGAGTTGTGGTAGGAAAATTATTTACTTTTTGTGATAACAGTTCTTAAAAATTATATTTGAGTTGGATCTTAAGATGTTGAAACTACAATTATTCAAATTAAATCCATTGTCTTTTAAATATTCACATGAAAATGTAATTGTTTTTATAACGGTTTTATTATGTCAATTATGCCAGAATTCCTATTACGTATATAGAAAATGGGTAGTGTGCAATAAATTTTTTTACTTTTCGTAATCATTTTAAAAAAAATAATAACAATAACTCTGATTTATTTGTCATGAACAAAATTTTTACACCGAGATATTATAAAAAGGCTTTATACATGCTTTACATGACTTGCAATATATTTTAAAAAATAAACAACATATGTAAAGACTTTTCACAACGACATTCATTAAAACTTGTGGTAAATTTGTGCAAACATAAGAAGAAGAGGATTGAAAATAAAAAATATTGAAAAGTTTAATATAGTCTTACTAATAAAATGAAAATGGAAAATACAAAAAGAAAATAAAAATTGTGAAAAAAAGTATTAGAATTAAAATATGAATTTTGATACAGAATATTTGAGAGAATAAATGAAATATTACTTTGTGACAGATTACCAGCGGTATGTCATCAAATTGTAAATAAAAAACCATTAGACTGAAAAAGAAATTAGTTAAATAATTTGTCTACAGTATTATCATCTTATCATTGATATAATGATGATTGAGTTTTGTAATAAAGTAGTATAAGGTGATGTATAATCTATTTTTCAAAAATAATTTAAATACAATAACAAAAAATATAATTATATTATTTAATGGTTGATTATTCTTCGCTACTGAGTTAATTGTTTGAGATATTAGTGATGGAGATTAGAAATGATTCACGCTTAAAAATAAGACTTCTTGAAGTAATTCCATTCCCATAATTGGGGGTTAGGATATGCCATAGGAAGTGCATAACTGGCAACCTCAATAAGGTCATGAATTGCAACTACTGATATAGTTAACTAGAATAATATTCAAGCGAGATGCAAGCATCTCCATTCTACAAGAGGATTTTGTAAAATTAAATCAAATTTATGTCCAAAGGTTTTAAATTAATTTTTTATTATAAATATATCTGATATAAATTTTATTATAAATATATCTGATATAAATTGTTCTGACTTATATTGGGAATTAAATTTATAATTTACAATATGACTTGTAACCACTGACTTTGAAACAGCAGAGATAATAAACAAGAGTATTATTTTTACCGCATTCCATTATTATGAACCTCTCACCACTCCATCTTCAAAAACTCCCAAATAACAAGGCTATTCCTAAGAGATAAGTGTAATTACCCCATGAAAATAGAGGTCCAAATTACAACCTTATCAAACAATTCTCAACTCAAGGTCTGGATATCCAGCTCGAGCTTTGTGTCGTTCAAATAGACCTTGAAGTGCTTCAACAAACTGGCTATGTATTTTGGCAACCTAAAACAAATTGAAAGCAATATAAGGAGACCAAAAAGTTTAGTATGGGGTAACTTTAAAATTCTAAAATATCTTGCATAAACCCATTGTTTACAAGAGCTTTTTTAAAAATAGTTTATCCATATCATGCAAATCTCGGG